CCTCCAGCTTCTATTTCTGGTTCTACCACAGGCTTCGCTGTTTTACCCAGAGCAAGGTGGAACCTGTTACTTTTTTCCACCTGCAAAATGTAGGCAATGCTTTTAGCCTTTTTTACAGAAGGCACAGGATTAATGAGAGCCAGAAATGACCTTGACCTGTTTTGTAACTGCAAATGTCTTTTTATTGCCAAATATTCATGAAAAATGAAAATCTGCTAGATTTTTTTTTTAATGAGTCAATATTAGGCTAAAACTTTAAAGTCTGGAACATGTACTTTATCAGGTGTTTTAAAAAATTCCAGTTTCCAAATTTAAACAAAAGGAGAATAAGATAAATCTTTCAAGTGATATTCAAAACAATAGGAAGGAAGTATATGGTTTGCCTTATAAATTGAAGTCTATTTTTCAAAAACCATGATTTTCAGTAAGATTAGTAAGAGTGTCTGAAATATTTATGTTAGTAAAGCCATGGCGAATGAGGCTGGCTTGCTGGAAGAAATCATGCCAAAAGTAAGTTGGCATGTCAGGATGTGGTATTCATGTGTTTACATATTAAGCCAGTTGAGAAGTTCGTGATAATGCACTAATTTAGAATGATTGTTGACCACTGAAATCTTTCCATCAATCCCGATACAGATGCTGTGGGCCTGGGATGATGGTTCACGAAGGAAGAAAACAATCTCAAACGTGATGCTTTTGCAGAGCTCCAGCTGGTCAAGAGATTCTTTTTTCATCCTAGGCAACAGTTACTGATCTATATCATTGTGGGAGAATGCAATCCTTATTTCGGTGACTGAGTTTGGTGATTGAGTTAGATACACATTATGATTTACTTGTTTTTGAAAGACAGAATTTAGGTCAGAATCACATGGAATGAAATCAACTACTCCCCCCAAAAAATATGGAGCTGGTTAGTGGGAAGTGCTGAATTCCCTAATCTATAGGTTCCAGAAAGTATTTCGAGTAAAATAACACGCTTGGCTGTCTGCTTCCTTCCTCTTTCCCTGGGGAAGGAACGGCTTCTCTCCTGGATGAGTTTGGAGAAGGAGCTGGGCAGCTTCTCCCCACCTCCAGGGCCCTGAGACCAGCTGAGCCGCAGGAGTTGATGTAATTTCTGTTTACTGCCACTGAGTCCATGTAACATATTTGCTTCATGCTTCTGTCCATGTTATTATTAATGTTCGTTATCTGGACTCTGGGATGAATTTTGCATAATGAAGACAATCCATCCATATTCATAAAATTCTGCTCAATCAAGACTCATCTCATTTCAGTAACTCAGAGGAGAAATCACCCTTTTATATATCCTGGAATCCAGATAAAATGGAAAATAATGGATATTCTGTCTTTTACTCTTGTTCATCTTCTTCATATTCTCCACAGCACAGGCTGTAGAAGTGCAGAGGGAATGGGAAAAGTGCAACATTTTTACATTTACTTACCCTACTTTAATTTTAAGGAAGACTGTGGGTTGTACAAGGCCATCTCCTTAGATCTAACATAGTAGCTAATACATATTTGAAGTTCAATCTTATTTACTGACTGAATGAATTATTAAATTCAGGGCATTTTCATTGAAAATGTTTAAAAAACATTTAAAGATATTTCATAATGCCCTTAATCAAATTCCATAATTACTTACAGGTTATTGGATCCAGCCTGGGGGTCTTACCAAGCTTTTTTCGGGGCATTCCACCACAAAGGTCATGGGTATGCAGAAATGAGGACGTTTTTAAAGCATTTATCACAGAAAGGAGGCAACTACCAATTAGCATACAGACTCCCCATCCCATTCCCCACCCCAACACAGTGGTTCAAGCCGTAAAGAATCCACCTGCAATGCAGGATATGCAAATTTGATTCCTGGGTCAGGAAGATCCCCTGGCAGAGAGTATGGCAACCTACTTCAGTATTCTTGCCTGGAGAATCCCATGGACAGAGGAGCCTGGCAGGCTACAGTCCCTGGGGTCACAAAGAGCCAGACATGATTGAGAACACACACACGCGTGCACGCGCGCACACACACACGGAGAGATCTACATAAATACATAATACAGAAATACAGAATCCCAGCCAAACACTTGTGGATGAAAACACCTATCATGGACACAAGGAAAATATCAGCCTCCTGGGGCCTGAAGCTCTAGCCTATGCCCAGCAATGGCTGTCATTCAGTATCCACCTCACCCTCAGCCTGTGCCCAATGAACCCCTATCTACTTACCAAGTGTACTTCCTCTGACTCCCTGGACTTTCCACATCACAAACTCCAATTGCCTGTCCTTGCTCCAGATGACACATCTTTAGGGACTCTCGCTCTCCTTTCCCAGACTCCTGGGAACTCTCATTTTCAGCCTCATGGGTAGAGTGGTCTCAATTTCATTAATGCACTTAATTGAGTAACAGCATTAATGGAGTACCAAGTGTGTTGGGCACTGGGCTACGTGCCTGGGATACAAAGATGATCTACGCCCAATTCTGGTTCTCCCAGAGCTCATGGGTAATGACTGGACAGTAAGTGATGTGGTCGAGTTAGCACCAGGCACTGTGGAGACAGAAATGAGACATTGAGCCAGACCTAGAAGAGTTCCAGGTGTAAGACCTCCTTCCTCAGGTTGCCATGTCCCAGAAGAGACTTAGGTGGAGGTCAACTGAGGTTTTGTTTTAAATTTTTAATATTTTTATATAGGTGTTTGTTGGTTATCTATTTTATTAATAAATATAGCAGTTTGTATATATCAGCCCCAAACTCCCAATCTATCCCTCCTTCCAACCCTTCCCTACTGGTGACCATAAGTTCATTCTCTATGAGTCTGTTTCTGTTTGGTAGTAACTTCATTTGCACTATTATAAGAGATATCATATAATATTTGTCTTTCTCTAACTTATTTCACTTAGTATGATAATCTCCAGGCCCATGCATGTTGCTGCAAATGGTATCATTTCATTCTTTTTAGTGGATAATATTCCAGTGTGTATGTATACCACATCTTTATCCATTCATCTGTCAATGGACATTTAGCTTACTTCCAGGTCTTGACTATCGTAGACAATGCTGCAGTGAGCACTGGGGAGCATGTATCCTTTTGAACCATGTTTTTATCCAGATATATGCCCAGGAGTAGGACTGTTGGATCACATGGTAGCTCTATTTTCAGTTTCCTTAAGGAATCTTCATACTATTCTCCATAGTTGCTGTACCAATTTATATTCCCACCAATAGTGTTGGAGGCTTCACTTTTCTCCATACCCTCTCCAGCATTTTTTGTTTGTAGACTTTTTGGCAATGGCCATTCTGACTTGAGAATTGAGAATTTTGAACAACTCCCAGATCAACAACAAAAGGCTTCGTGAAGCTGAGTCTGTGGTCAGATAAAGAGGAATAGTTAGATGTGGGCTCTGCAGAAGAAGGAAAGGAAAGTTCCGTAGACATTACAGAAAATGTCAGTTTAGATTTGGGTGCTTAGAAACAGCACTCTTTCTTCTTTTTGGTAAGACTTTATTGGCACCTTTGAAAAACTGGCGTTAGAGAATCAGGGTTAAGGGATAAAAAGGGTCCATTTACTAAAATTCTCTTATAATACAACAGGGAAAATTGTGTGTGTGCTGTAGTATTTTACTGCCATTTTAGGGGAGGTTTATGGTTTCCTAACAAGCTTCACTCATTATAACTTGCATACTTGTATAGACAAGTTGAGGGACAAAGCGTGATTGGCGATAATCCCAAGGTGCTGATGGGAAGGGTTTTTTGTTCGGCTGTCTTTGAAGTGAAGATCAGAGGTTATTCTTTGTCACCCATGAAACTTTGATGTTTCCCTGCACTAATGTTCACAGGCAGGATGTAAACACCAATATTCAGTGGCAACATCCAGATCACTTTATGATTAGGTGAGAACTTTGTTAAGGAAAATATAATTTGTTACTGGTCAGTGTGACTTTGAAATGTTCCTGGGCACCCTGAAGGAAAAGCTAGTTCTAGAATAGAAGCATTAACATCCATTAACAGTCTATGTAAAAAAACTGGTTTAACTGACTGCCAATGAATGTATCAGAGTAACAGGAAAAAAAAAGGGGGACTTGCTTTAGTACAGTTGGAGTAGGAGAGTAACAGGTTGTGAGTCTGACTGCTAGGAATACTGGACCAAGACTGAGTTTCAGAGCTGGACAGGGTCAGCTTTGAATCTTGGCTCTGTTATTTTCTAGCTGTGTGCCATCAAGTAAATTGTATCTTCTCAGCTTTCTTGTAAATAAAATGGGGATAGTATTATTGCTTCTGGGATTAATTGCAATTACATAGTTAAGACGCCTAATACATAAGTACATGCTCAAAATGGTAGATGTATTGATCTTAAGCAAACTAGTCATTTCACAAAAATTTAACTGAAGCCTCAAAGTATATGGTATCCTTTGATATGAATTTTCAGTGCACTAAATGCATTTAAAGTTGTGGTATGAATTTTAAATGCACTAAATGCCCCATATACCCTACCTTGCCAGCACTTCATGGTATAATATTGGCTAATGTGCTTCATCATTGCCATGGAAGGCTGAAAACGTCAGACAGGACTCATGGAATGATATGGATGAAACCTGGTAGGGAACCTGGTAGAGGACCGGTTTGTTCACACACATAAAGATTGTAATTATCCTATATGCTGTATTAACATAAGCAACAGTGATTTCTGGTTATTTTTGGCTTTCTCTTACAAATATCATCCTTGCCTTAGTTTATAACCTGATCTATAAAGGTAGGAGCTTCCCTGGTGGCTCAGTGGTAAAGAATCCACCTGCCAAGGCAGGAGATGCAGGTTTGATTTCTGAGTCAGGAGGATCCCCTGGAGTAGGAAATGGTAGCCCACTCCAGTATTCTTGCCTGGGAAATACTGAGGCCAGAGAAGCCTGGTGGGCTACAATCCACGGGGTTGCAAAAGAGTTGGATACAACTTGGTGACTAAACAGCAACAAGAACACACAGGCAGAAGCAGTGCTTTAATCAGCGGCATGGTCCTTAACCTCCGGTTACCCTGCTGGGCCTTAGGGAAACTGTCGCCTGGCCCCACAGAACAACCACATTCATCCAGACGTCCATCCGTGCTTTCAACCATGCGTGTGTGCATCCGTCATTCCATCTACCACTGTTTTAAGCGGTGAGGACATGATGTTAAGCAGACAACTACCCTCATAGACTTTATAATCTGTGAATCACTGGGGTAGCTGATTTGCCAGCCAGTTTGTCTTCACATCAGAGCAAAATAAGAGCATTCTATTCTAAATAATTAGTTAATCTGGAAAATTTAGAAAATATACAAATAAAACGATGATCATATTTAATATTTCCTAGAACTAATCACTATTAGGGACTTCCTTGGTGGTTCAGACAGTAAAGAATCTGCCTGCAATGCAGGAGACTCAGATTTGATCCCTGGGTTGGGAAGATCCCTGGGAGAAGGGAATGGCTTCCCATCCAGTATTCTTGCCTGGAGAGTTCCATGGACAGAGGAGCCTGGCGGGTTACAATCCACAGGGTCGCAAAGAGTCGGACACAGCTGAGCGACTAACACTGATCAACATTAACATTTTGGTGTATTTACTTAAGGTCGTCTGTGTTTGCATGTGTATAACAACAGCGAAATATGCAATACATAATTTTAAGTCTCTGGTTTTATTATTTGCTTAACATTATATCATGAGCAATTTCCTATGCTATTAAATTATTTTTTTTGCTATTAAATTATTAAAGATATGACTTATAGTAGTTGCTTAATGTCCCATTCTATAGATCTGTTAATTTTTGCTAAACATTTAGACTGTTCTTATTTCCCTTATTTTTTTGCTTTCAGTTAACACTGAAATAACATCTTTAAACCAAAAATCGCACCCAAATCTCCTTAGGATTTCCCCTTAGATTCCTAGAAGTGTAATATCTGGATAAATGCATATGAAAGTTTTATGGTTTTTGCCAAGTTGCCTTCCAGAATAGAAAAGATTCCACTCTAGAATATCTGGAAAATTTTAAAATAGTTTAGCTCAGTGTTTGCTGTCATGCATATCAATCATGATGCCATATTTGGTTGAATGGTAGTGTCTTCTACAGGTGAATGTTTGGACACAGACTTTTTAAATTATAGGTTTTGACAGGGAGACTTTGAATGAACCATGCTGAAAACAATGGACATTTTTCGGGTGTTTTTCTCTCTTTTTTATTAATTTCTTACAGCTAACTTTCCTCATTACCTTTCTTACTCTTTTTACTCATACAATTTCAAATGCTTTACCCCATTTCCATGCCTTCATTTATGCTAGTAACCCATCCTTCCATGTTTTTTCTCAAGTTCATATAAGCAGGCATACATTCATACACACACATGCACACACACATAATCTTGTTATTTTACAGAAATACTATCTCATTATATTCACTTCCACATAAAGAAAGGAAAAAGAAAGCAGTGCCTCTGGTGGTATGTTCAGCAGAGTCTTCTGGGAATCATTACTGGAGCTCTAACATAGAGCCAACTGTCCTAGCTTTTTCAATAAATTTTGGTATTAAGCTTCTTTCTAATTCAAACAGCTAAAGTGATGACTCTTATTCGCTTGAATCCTGACCTTATTCAAGTCCCTTCTTCCAAATCCCAGGATTATTACTCGTCACTGCTCTTTAAAATTCTTGCCAGTATGATGGGTTTGGGGCTTCCCTGGTGTCTCAGTTGGTAAAGAATCCAACTGCAATGCAGGAGACCCGGGTTTGATCCCTGGGTCAGGAATATCCCTTGGAGAGGGAAATGGCAACCCACTCTAGTGTTCTTGCCTGGAGAATCCTGTGGACAGAGGAGCTTGGCAAGCTACAGCCCATGGGGTTGCAGAGTCAGACATGACCAAAGCGACTGAGCACACACGTGCATAATGGGAATTAAGTGATATCTTGGTATTGCTTAATCTTGCATACGAATCTCCTCCAACTCTCTTGCTCTGATCTGTTTGAATATCATCTTTGCTCCTCACTGCAACTCTCTCTGCTTCTCCCCCAGATTTTATTGCCCTTCTGCCCTTTATGGTTGGAGTCATCTACTGATTCATAGGTTATTCCCCTTTATTTAAAAATTATTTTCACTCCTGCTTCCTTGATATTCTCTTCAACACTACTTCTACCCTAATTCATGGCATATCAACGTCCATGCAGGCAATTCTTCCTGTATCCCTCCCTTACCTCTCCGCGTCCATTCCTTTTTTTTTTTTTGGCCATACTAGTGGCTTGCGGGATCTGATCTCCCTGACCAGGGATCTTTCAGGGGAAGCAAAGAGACCTAACCATTGGCCCACCAGGGAATCCCCTCAGTGTTCATTCCTTTCAATTGCTGAGTTGCATTTCATTGTATGTATATAGCATCATTTGTTTATCCACTCACCCACCAATGGATCTTTGGGTTGTTTTAGGTTTTTGCCCATTGTAAATGAAGCTGCTGTGGACCATCAGGTTAGTCTCTACAGTCAGGTACAGTGACAAATAGAGATTGCCCACAGATTCCAGCTGCCCTTTGACCTCCTTTGCTCTGCTTATAGCTTGTTTCAGTTTTTTAAACTGAAACACAGTTAATTTATAATACTGTGTTAGTTTCAAGTGTACAGCGAAGTGATTCACATTTATACCGATGTCTATCTACCCTTTCTTTTTCAGATTCTTTTCCATTATAGGTTGCTACAAGATATTGGATGTAGTTCTCTGAGCTATACAGTAGGCTCTTATTGTCCGCCTGTTTTACATATAACATGTGTATCTGTTAATCCCAGACTCTTAACTTATCCCCCACTCTCCTATTTGGTAGCCATAAGTTTGTTTTCTATGTCTGTGAATCTATTTCTTTTCATAAATAAGTTCATCTGTATGTCTCTAGCTCTTAAGAGCTCACCCTGCTAGGCGGCAGTAGCCCCCAGACTCACTGCAAATGCTGGGTGGTGGACTCTCAAAGGGATTATCAAAGAATATGCTCAAAGAATATGCTACTTCAAGGTAGCAGCCTCCCCCAGAACAGTCCATAAGCTTCTTCCCTATGATCCCATTTCAACAGCTGGCCGTGCTTAGCCTCTCAAGAATCACAGACTTATTTGCCTACACCAGTGCACAGAGAAACTGTCAGTGACTTTTTTTCTGATCCATTAACTTCACCTTATAGACCCTCTGCCCAGTCATTCAGATCTAAACCGTACCATATTCCATAACACCCACAGAGGCTTTGCTATCCTGACAAATAAATCCTCTCAAAGCTGAAATAAACTTATTTCTTTGGTGTTCATTTCCTTTTTCTTCTTCTCTTTATAAAATGAGAATTTTTTTAGCAGTTTTATTTGTGATAGCCTCAAACCAAAAATAGTTCAGGTAGCCATCAAAAGTAGGAAGGGCAAATGCTGTATATTTTATTCACAGAATGAGTTGCTACTTAGCAACAAAACGAATTACCAATACCCTCAACAACATGGATGAATGTAACAGACAAATGCTGAGTGAGAGAAACCAACAACAAAGAGAATATACTCTATGATTCTACCTATCTGAGGTTCAAAACAGAGAAAAGTGATCTATGGTGATAGAAATTGGGACATTATGTCCTTGGAATACCCTTGGAAGAGGGCCATGGACTGGGAGGGACATGATTTTTTTCTACTTATGGAAATGCTCTATATTGTGGTCTGGGTGATATTTACAAAGATATATACATATGTTAAAATTTTAGCAAGCTGTTCAGTGATGATTAGTGTATTTTACCTTTAATATATGGAAAGAGAGACAGACAGAAATTATAGTCTCTTAGTCTCTTGCCTGGACTCACGCTTTTTGTTTTAATTTGAAATGATTGTAGATTGACGAAGTTGCACAGATCCTACAGAGAAGTCTTGGGCCCCCTTTCTGCAGTTTCTCTCACTGGTTATGTTATTACGGTGCTCATTTCTTCAGAATCATTTTCATCACCATCATTTGGGTGCCCACCACCAGTAGGTTTGAAACAGTGGTATCATTTCTTGACAAGAAAATCCAGAAAAAATTGTTTGTCATTTATCAATAAAGCTTAATGTTTTAAAAAATATATAGATTTCAATTCTCTGATTCAGTTAATAACATATTAAAAACAGGTTTGATTAAAAATAAAAGTGATTATAAAAATAAATAAATGCTTACATTTTCTCTGACTTTTTATACACATTTGGGTTACCCTTGATGAACTAACCTTAAAATGTCACATATTGTCATATGGTCCTACTGCACATGCCTGGTACTCACCCCACCCCTCTACCCCCACTCCCCACCCTGGTGACAGAAATATGATAACTCTTGAGTGAGCCAGACCCTGTTCACTGAGATGTGTCCACTAATCACACACCTAGATGCAGAAGCAGTGTTAAAGTCAAAGGCTCCTGATGGGTTGTGCCAAGTCAATTAAATGCATGGCTGAAGTAACAGGCAAAGCTGTGATCACTGTTCTGGCTCCAAGTCTCTCTGTTTTAGGAACTTTCTTTCAAGGATGGCCATTTTAAGTGCTCTTTTTATGTTTATCCACCATGTGTTTGGAGTGGGGTCTGCATTAGCTCATGGGGCTTCCCTAGTGACTCAATGAAAAAGAATCCTCCTGCAACTCAGGAGACTTGGGTTTCATCCCTGGGTCAGGAATATCCCATGGAGAAGGAAATGGCAACCCACTCCAGTATTCTTGCCTGAGAAATCCCATGGGCAGAGAAGCCTGGTGGGTGGGCTACCGTCCTTGGGGTCACAAGATGTGGACACAACTGAATGAGCAAACCACCCACTGCATTAGCTCGGGAGTCAGATTGTCTGGGCTTTAACTCTAGCTCCACTAGATACTAGTTGCATGACCCAGGACAAGGTACTGCACCCCTATGGGTTTCTGTTTCCTCACCTTTAAAATGGGAGGAAAAAAATGAGAAATTTCTGGTAAAGATTAAATGTCAAAAGCACTTGGAACAGGGTATGGAACATGGGTAATATTGAATACACTTTTTATTATTAGTATGTTATCAGAAGTACCTCTCTTAGATATATTATGCCAAACCCTTGCAAAATTATTATCCAATTGTTAAAAGAAAATCTCATTTGAAGAAAGAAGCTAAGAATGCCTCTTCTGTTCTAGCTTGGCTT